CAGCCCGTCTGTCTGGGCAGGAAGGCAAATGAAGCAAATGTTTAAAACAGTCGGCGAGCGGTCTTGTGGAGTAAATGCTTCCCTGCCACTTGATGGTGGCAATTTGTCCTGTCCTGTTAGAGGGCAATAAAATCAACGCTTATCTCCATAACGTCCTTTTGTTTCCTGCTTCTCCAGTGTATGAGAGAGAGAGAGAGAGAGATGCATGCATGCAGTTTTGCCTTGGGGGCCCCCCAAAAAAGCCTCGGGCAAACTCTTTCTTTTTTTTCTCATCTCAGAAACAAGACACTGGGGAGCAGAGGGGGGGGGAAACTATTTTATTTTGCCGTCCTTCACCGGCGTCCTTAACCTAAATCCTAACGTAATAGACAGAATGTGGCGTTCCAGGAGGGCAGCCAGCCATGGCTCAGACAGAAAATGGTGACTTCACCTCTCCATGTGTGTGTGTGTGTGTGTGTGTAAAACAGCTTATACTACCATGTCTTGCCGAGCTGGGTGGGCAGGAGGGATTTAATTTAATTTTTTTTTTTTAAGTGCACTTGCAGAAAGCTGGGAAGACGGTGTATGGGTGCATGCATGTACAGTGCAATGCATATAAATATATTTATTTCTGATTTTTAGTTCAAAGCACTCAAGGTATTAAAGGGTGGAGGAGGTTTAAAAAATATTCTTGGGAGAGGATTGTTTTGCAACCTCACGTTCCCCTTTTCTCCTGCTGGAGAGCAGCCTTCCCCTTTCAGGTCAAAAAGGATCGGAAAACCCATGTAGTGACTACGTTCACTATTCCCCCCCCCAAAAAAAGGGGTGGGGAGTTTGGGGAGCCCTCAGAGAAGTTGTGGGCTGTCAGGTATTTTTATTTTTAATGAGTGGATAAGATGAAGATGGATAATACACATGTCCCATCACACCACATACACCCTTGGCTTTGCTGCCAAGGGGTGATGGGTGTTGTAGTCCCAGGCTTACCAAGGGGTTATATGCCAGGTGTGTTAGCCTGGCTACACACCAGATGGACGGAGGCCTTCGTCCCCTTTTTCCAGAGGTGGTTGGACACCAGCTCCCATCGCCCCTCACCTTTCTTTAGGTTGGCTGGGCTAATGGGAGTTGTAGTCTAAAACGATGAGAGGGCTCCCGTTCGTGTGTGTGTGTTTTTTTTTACTTCAGACTAAGAAGCATGCCAAAGGAGAGTGCGTGACAGGAAAGTGGGGTAGAAGGGCAGGAGGCCGGCGTTTCCATGGCGACGCTGTAGCCATCTTGGCTCCCTCGGGCCTCCTTGGCCAAGAGGAAAGAAAGGAGGGTCTCTGACATTTTGCCCCCCCCCCAAAAAAAATTAGCAAGGTGCAAGTGACCGCTTGCCTTCACCCGGTTGGTACTCAAGATACGCGGGCGGGTCCCAGCAGAAATACATGCCTTATTATGGGATGGGAAATGGCCCCTGGAGTCCACAGGGCGTAGCAGAGTCAGCCAGTCCACCTGCAATCCGTCTTTCTTTATAATCAATAACAATGACAGATTATTTGCAACCTGCCTTTCCTTCACTAAGCTCAGGCGTGTACAGAGGCTTTAGGGTGGTGGGTTTTTTTTACTACAGCTCCCATAATCCCCAGCCAGGATGGGACTTGTAGTCCACAAAAGCAACTCTTATACAGTCTGCTTGTTTTCAGTGGAAAGGCACGGTTTAGTTCGGTGTTAGACCCGATATTGTACACCTCTTAGGCTGGAGAGATGTTTATATTTCCAAACAATTTTTGCAGAATAAAAACCTTTTAAAATGACAAACGAGTCTCAAGGATCCGGAAAAATTAAACCACGCCCTTTTTTGGCAGCTTTTCAGGACTGTTACAGGGTTTATATCCCCGCCTACGTCTGAACCTATGAAGGGTTAAACGCCTTGCGGCCCTTTTGCGTGTTTCTGGAGGGGGTGGAAATCGGAGGGAGCACCAACACCCCCCCAAAAAATCCCCCCTCCCGATCTTTGGTCTCTCATCAGCACCTCTTTCTCTCTCTTCTCCACTGAACAGCACTGCTGTACAAGCCGATAAACCGCGTGACCCGCAGCACTCTGGTGTTACACGTAAGTACACAAGAGAGATGTTGTGCATATTTCACGACTGCTGGTGACACATGCGAAGCACACACACATCCAAAGAATCTGACCGGGGTGGTGGTGGTTCTGTATGTGCTGGAGACCAAGCGCCAGGACATGTTTCCAAAGATCTTTGAGGCAGAAAGGGCCCCCTCCCCGTGTGCAGATTTCGGGTTTTTAACAGGCATTTCCTCTCTCCGGGGGGGGGGCAGGACCTCTTGAAACACACCCCGTCGGACCACCCGGACTACCCGCTGCTCCAGGATGCGCTCCGCATCTCCCAGAACTTCCTGTCAAGCATCAACGAAGAGATTGACCCCCGCCGGACGGCCGTCACTACGCCCAAAGGGGAGGTACGCAGGCAGGCGGGGAGCGCGAGCAGCTGCCATGGGGCAGAGGGGGGGGAAGAGACTCTGGAAGACAAAGTATTCTGTCTTGGCCAAGGGGAGGCAGAGTGTGGAAGAGTCTGGTTGCGTTCAAGTAGCTGGGCAAGGGCCGTCCCCAAAGCAGAGTTCAGAGGTAGTCTAGCCGCCCAGTGACCTCTCTGGCTTTGTAGCCCACGGTCCTGCCTGAACTCGAATGAGCCTCTCCTGCTGAATGTGGGGCGCCCTGTGTATTTGGGGGGAGGGGGTATGCGTGCTCAACTCTGACTCACACCTCTCGGTTTTTTCTTTTCTTTTCTTGCCCACGTGCCTCCAGACGCGGCAGCTGGTCAAAGACGGCTTCCTGGTGGAGCTGGCAGAAGGTTCTCGCAAACTCCGCCATGTCTTCCTCTTCACTGACATGCTCCTTTGCGCCAAGCTGAAGAAAACCGGAGTGGGGTGAGGCCCAGGGAATACCGGGATGGGGGTGGGGTGGGGGGA